GTAGCGTGGATTCGATACTGACCCCAATGGTGTCTCGATCCTGTGCGCATGTCGTTATTACCACAATTGGCTCTCCCCCAAAAGAGAATTTGCTTGTAATCGCTCCTGTCCAGAGGTCGAGTTCCTGGTGAATATCCGTCAAATTACTCTCCGTCACGTTGAGTACCTCCCCCTCGGCCGACCGGAACACTAGCCCCACCCGTCCCAAATTGACGCGGTTGGGATTCGCGGTGAGCCATTGCTCGATTAGCTCGTCACTTCCCCCAAAATCATACTCGACAAGTCTTCCATGATTATACCAGCTTGCACCATGATAATCATTCACGTCGTCCATCGTTTTACCTTGAGGCAAACTGTCGTTTTTCCACCCCCAGGAAGACATGATGGCGAATGGCTGGAACGTTTGGAGACCTGTGACATCAGCCCCGAAAGCGAAGTTTCCATTTCCTACTTGCATCGGCGTAGTGAGGCTGGATGCATTGCGGGTAGGATTGTACCGGGACACTAACGTGTACCGGTCGATTGCTGCAAGCGTTTGGGTCGACAAGAGGAGTAGAAAAAGGCAGAGCATTAGGTTTCCGATCTGTATTTCGAAGGAATAACAGGAGGAAGAAGAACATGCACAAATCCCCGACAACGACGCCTGAACGTTAACAATTTGACCCCGCCTCGTTGATATCCAATTTTATTGTGGCTTGTTCATCGCATTCGGACTCGCCTTCGGACATGCGTTGTGCTCGGACTCCTAACCATTGTGCCGGACTGCCGCAATTGTTCGGGTGCTGAGCCTAACCTGCTTCGCCAAAGTGAAATTGCGTGCTTTTTTGTGACGGTCAGATGGAACAAGCCACGATCCGAGTCCCAGTAATGACCATTGACCATATGATGACGGTAGAATTTGCACTCTCTTGATATATGAAATACTGAGGTATCTTCCAGAAACACTCGTCCTGGCGAAAATCCATGCCGTGTCCTATCGCCGACATTCCGGAATAGGTCTTGAGGATGCAACATCGGAATTCCTCATGTACTTCAATTCGCATTCGACGGAAACACTGAGGAAATCAGCTGACTACATTAATAATCATACTATGCACCTCAGTCTTGTAAGTACCTGTTAAACCTGGTACTCGGGGAAGTCATTGTACAACTCACCCAAGGATAGCACCGAACGTCGCGTTTTGGTTGTCTGTGAGCGTGTCGAGGTCGTGGCAGGAGGCGAATTCCAGAAAAGGAATGGTTGGCAATGATGACGCGCTGTTTGCCGGGCCCGGGCCCAGGGCCTTTCTCTATTTACGGACTTCGCATCTCCCTTCACCGTCTTCTTCCTTAGTACTCTCCTTCGCTTTGATAAAAGCTATGACATGACACCACCTCACATCTACATATTCTCTGTTGGATTTTCTGACAAAATTTCTCAACGCTTTCCCTGGCTGTAGAATATTTACCGTTGGTTTAGGGCTTAACATTCAACCCCAACCAAAAATCCGTAGGTTGAGGTTGGTACAGATGCGAAACGTTCGTCGTAGAAGCCGTTATGATGGCCGTAAACTTGAAGAGTGCTGCCATCATCGTAAACTATGAGCTTCTCCGGTAAGATATACAAAAGCTTGTTGATTGCTACAATTTACAATGCTTTACTCAATCCTTCATAGCGAACGACCCAGCCGTCTTTCGGAAACCCTGGCGCATCGCCTTCGCTACCATCCCACCCACTTGCCATCATCGCCACAGTGTACAAGAGTCCACCTGAGCCCGGAAAATACGGTGGAGGTATAGGTATGTTTGTCAATGGCATCCCAACGTCGTCGAAATTGAAAAGGGGGTCTAACAACCAATCAACGGCGTCCTCAGCATCTCCATTACGTGCGGAAGACATTGCAAGCATCGCGAAATCCCACCTATAAGTCCTTCAGTTACCGAGCAAAGATGGTTTAGATCGGCTCACCCCCAGAAGCTGTTTGCATTCCAATCCTCTCGCACCTTCTTAGCCGTTGCTTTCGCAATCGTGAGATTCAAACCCTCTGTCTCCGGAAGCCATCCATATAGTCCCACTAACGCAGGGTGATCGCTAGCATATGCTGGATCCGTCCAAAAGTCGTTTTCAAGTGTTTCATACACCTTGTACGTGCCGTTGTTGACAGGGAGTGCCGCCAGGTTGTCCTTGACCACCGTCCAATTCTTTGGGACCTCTGCGCCCAGCTTCTCCATCCATTCTTGCGCAAGGCCCAATCCCAGACGCCAATACGCCAACTCGAACGCAGGATTCACAGTCACATTGGGACTGGTGTTTTCGCTGACGACGTACATGGGTGGTCCAAGGTCATATACGCCTGTAGACTCGTTGTACCACGCAAATGCAGCCATCCAGTCAGCCGTTTCACGAACCACATCCTCCCACTTATGCAGAGTCTCCATTGTTGGTGATGCCCGATACGCATACTTTGCAAATACGAGCGGGTGCGGCTGTTGCCAGATCAGCAGATTGTTTATCTCGCCTGGGGATGAACGACCTGAAGGGTCGGTCATCTTTGGCCACCGTGCGCCGGAGGGCCAGTGTTGCTGCTCCTGCGACCTGGCTATGGAGGATGGCAGGAATTTGGCGTAGGTATCGGTAGACCGGTTGAGCAGTTCCCAATTGTTCCAGAGAGCCCAGTGTGCCGAGTGCCAAAAGAACATCTCCATGTGAAACTTCCTACATTATCCGGATAGTGAATTCAGAGCGATGTATACGACATATTTCGAAAATGCTTACCCGTACTATAAAAGGATCTGTGAGTTTTTTTTAGTAGAATGGTGCAAAGCCACTCACCCAGCCATTATTCACTAGCCCGGACTGGCAACGCGCGTGAGAATTGACTTGTATATGCAGTCCGAAATCGACTTACCTCCTGCGGCGGCGTGTCGCCCGCTTCATTGACACGCATCAAATATCGGGACAAAATAATCCTCCTTTGTAGTTCATCTGCTCTCGGATCTGAAGATTCGGTAAACACGTCGACGAAACCATTTTGTGACCAAAACGTGTCCCAAGCCGTTCGCGATGAAGCGTCTGTAGCTTCATAACTCGTTCTGTCAATAGGGCCGGCGATGCCATATGTGGCTGCGATTCGGAACGTCGACGTAGAGTCTCTGGGTAGGATGGTGTAACGATGAGCATCGGGAGAGTCACGGGATATGGTGAAGGCATCGCTGTCGAAAGAAGTGATGAACGAGGCTTCGTCGAGTGTGTGGGTGATCTCTGCGCTGTGGCCATCGACATCAGTACTGATCGAAGTTGTGTGGTTGGCGGGAGCGTCCCAATTTCCAACAAACGGCCCGCTGAACATGGCCAAGCCATCATTCCACGGATAATCTACGAACACGCCCAACTGGCCGCCACTCAGTAGTGTGGATTCGATACTGATTCCAACGGTGTCTCGATCCTGTGCGCATATCGTTGTCACAGTAATTGGCTCTCCTCCAAAAGAGAATCTGCTTGTAATCGCTCCTGTCCAGAGGTCGAGTTCCTGGTGAATATCCGTCAAATTACTCTCCGTCACGTTGAGTATCTCTCCCTCGGCCGACCGAAACACAAGCCCGACCCGTCCTAGATTAACACGGTTAGGATTCGCGGTGAGCCATTGCTCAATCAGCTCATCACTGCCCCCAAAGTCATACTCTACAAGTCGTCCATGATTATACCAGCTTGCACCATGATAGTCATTCACGTCGTCCATCGTTTTACCTTGAGGCAAGCTATCGTTTTTCCACCCCCAGGAAGACATGATGGCGAATGGCTGGAACGTTTGGAGACCTGTCACGTCGGCGCCGAAAGCGAAGTTTCCATTTCCTACTTGTATCGGCGTAGTGAGGCTGGATGCATTGCGGGTAGGATTGTACCGGGACACTAACGTGTATCGGTCGATTGCTGCAAGCGTTTGGGTCGACAAGAGGAGTAGAAAGAGAGAGAACATTAGGTTTCTGATCTGTATTTCGAAGGAATAACAGGAGGAAGAAGAACATACACAAATCCCCGAGAATGACGCCTGAACGTAAACAATTTGACCCCGCCTCGTTGATATCCAATCTTATTGTGGCTTGTTCATCGCATTCGGACTCGCATTCGGACATGTGCTCGGACTTCTAACTATTGTGCCGGCCTGGCACAACTGTTTGGGTGTTGAGCCCAAAGTGGGATTCTCACTTTGCCGAAGGGGAATTCGTGCTCATGTCGTTGGTCATACGACCATAGTCCAAGTGATGATCATAGGGAATGGCTGGATGACTTCTTCGCCCTTGAGCAAGCAGCGACTGTCGGGGACCAGAATGCCATGGTAGGCTACGAAAGGAGGCGTAAGGTAAGCGTAGGACCGTATAAAAGACCGGATGACGTATGTGGCAGTTGCTTGACTCGCCTTCGTTCGGATACTCTACGCTAAAACTTGATATTCCGAATTTCTCGCTACCTTGCCAATTCATCGCACTCGGACTCGCGTTCGAACTCTTTCACAGATTGCCGTCCACGGTTCTCGCCTGGCAGACTGTTCGGGCCAATGTGGATTCTCAGCTCAAGACTCGTGAGTGGCCAAAGCCGAAGCGGGTGCATTTGCTTTGGGCATGAGACAAGCCACGGGCCGGTTGATGATTCTAGGATGAGAGAATGAGTGGGATTTTCAGTATTCGATGAACATGTAAATTCCTGAAGCATTCTCGGAAGAAACTTGTCTGGTTCTGTACTGACGATTTGATATCACATATCTCCAAAAAGAAAGCATCAGTGTAAGAAAAACTGCCGGAATTCCTTGGCACGAACCAGAACATGAACATCTCTCCGATGCTCCTCCAGACTTGGGACTCCGGCTGGTGGGAGTGGACACTGGAGAAGCTAGCTAGCATCGCCATTGACCAAGTATGTGTCATGTAAGAAAAGGCACCCTAAACGGTTACCGGGTCCCGGGAATGAGTTGCAAATTTTCTAAAACATAAGACTAGCAAAGAGTACGTTTTCCATCGACAACAGGCACTACCAGGGTTCGAACCTGGGTTATGGGAATTAAACAATATTTCCTTCTAATCAGAATCCCATGTGCTGCCACTACACCATAGCACCTTTATATCGTGTTGCTGTGGCTGTGGCTTCCATCTCCTGATTCAGTAGACTGACAGTAAGGCTTACCCATCCGCGCATCAGCCTCTACTATGAATGTCCCCTGAAAAATAAGGTCAGAGTAAGGCTCGCTCGCCAAAGAACTGACGGCCCTGAAAGCTGTTGAACGAATTGTATGTCTAGAGAAGTATCGCCGTTTGTTCAAATGAAGATTATGCGACGACAAGTACCAGAGATTGCCAGTGCCAGTGGCCGAGGAGGTGGAACCTGTATATAGTATGTGCACCGCCGCAATCGCCGACTCACAAGTTGAGATGGACAACTTCGGAAACACTAGGGCTCCCTGATAACGGCTTGTCTACTATTGGGGGTGTGAACGAAGCACGCGTGCACTTTGCAAATGAGAGATAAAGCACTCACAGACACCGTTATATGAAAAGCGACGTCCGAGTTCCAACACCTCCACTCCTAGCCACGGCATGCATTATTTGAAAAATTTCCTCCGTATGGCAAGTTCGTCCAGATTTGAGCTGGACGTCTGTGCACGGCCACCGGTGCTCTACCACCGTAACTTGATAAAGCATCCACTGCAACGAAAAAGGACCTCTTGTTCTGTTGTGTTCAGCGTTCCACAAGATCGTCTTCCATCTGCACCTGTCATCGATAGCAATGATAAATTTTTCCTTGGATGTAAGTCAGAAATCCATGCGAAAGACCTCGGATACGTGGTATAGCTACTTTTCATACCAACGTTGGGGGAAGCGACGATAGTGTGTTTGGGCTCGGTTGTCCCGGACCGGGCTTAGGTGATCACAAAGCGTGCGCCTGACTAAGCATTTTGAGCAGGTGATCGTGAGGCTAGGGTTCCCCATTTGAGCCACGTTTGGGACCCGGGGTCCCGAAATTTGTCTGGACCTTTCGACCGACTTGTCCCAAAATTCGCCAAAATCGGTTTCTCAATCCTTTCTTTGCAGTCTATTCAGGTATATTTGGGTGTGATTGTGGCAAAGAAATACAAGAAGCTACAATGTCAACGAAGTTGCCACCTCAGTGCGGTTACCCGTGGGTTTGTCCGGACCATTGTACTACTAACCCATCCGATCTGCCTGCTATTGTCCGGATTGAAAGTTCTGACATATCGCCTCGGGAATACTCTTTGTCCGGACTTAGGTGCACACCTTCCAGCTTCAAGGTGCAGGATTTGTCCAGACTTTTCAACGAAGCTCAGCCGGAATAATTGAAGGGGTCCTGTTCAAGTTCAACCAGCTTTTGTCTTGTCTACAACGGTGAGTCTCGGACGAATCTCCCCCACCTCAGATGGGCTGACTACCTTACGAGCCCTACGCGCGAGGCCGTTTCTAGTGTCGAAGTATATTCCGAGAGAACTTATCTTTGCACCAAACTGCTTATAAAGAACATCACACTTTTTTTATCGCACAATCACCAACCCGCGGCGCGCGCGCACCCGGAAGCCTGGCAAAAAAAACACGTCCCGCCGGAAGGTCAATACGTGACTCTTCTTGCAGACTTGGTCTCTCTCACTTGTTCCGTCCTGACTTCGGGCTAATAGTCTTATGCCTCTACTTATTACACTTGTTCCTAGCACCTATATGTCCCATCTTGTGACATGTTTACCTCCCCAACGAGTCGTGTTAGACTGTCACTATCTCACGTCCCCAACGCGTCCGTGTCCGAGTCGGGGGGTCGGACACGTTGTTTGGCAAGTCTGTCTCGCCTTACGGTCGACTCTTACGGCCATGGCTGAAATTGCATCTTTTCCTTCCCCGCACCGTTTCACCATGGTTCAAGTCTCTTCGCGTCTACGTCACCTTCTTCGCTGTACTGGTACTGGTAATGTCGGCACATACTGTAGCTGCTGGATAGCGACGCGTCATAAAAAGGACTGGTTGGTAGGATTACACTTTAGGGGACGTAGAGACGTACAAGAAAAGAAGAAAACAACTCTGTACGTGTGTCAAGGGCATATACGGAATGGAACTCGTCTCGGTCCAGGCTGTAGCTGTATCATGACCGAGAGGTTTCTTGCAGGATATTACCACGATAATTTGGAAAAGCCATCGCCGTCTGCATCCTTGCCCATGACCCAGTGCCGAAAAGAAGTGTCATGCTGTCGCAATGGTTAGCAGTCCGAGTCCGAGTCCGAGAGTGATGGATAAAAGAAAGACATGTGACTCTCCATGCATATGTATACGTGAAGAGGGTATATATACGGCACGATACCTTACAGCTACTCCCAGTGTTCTTGGACCCTCTTCCTACAAGATGCTTCTTGGGGTACTGTTTCTCTCATTCACCTTCCCCATCAGATGGAGCGGTATTTCTGTAGTACTCGCACAGTCGGATAGTACGAGAACAAGCGAGTCTTCGGTAGTATCCACCACCACTAGTACAGCGAGTCCCACAAGTATCCCAACGGGCACGGCTAGCTTTCCTCCAATCGGATCAATTCCTCGCGATTACACGTCGGAAGGACTGGAACGACTTTGGGACATCGTTCGTATTCTCGCTGATCATCCTAGAACGTGACACTCCTAGCTCTACAGATCGGACCCGTCGAGGCGCCTCCGTTCGCCACGACCCGTGTGCCCAGCGCTGCGGTGACCCTACCGCCCTCGCCTCCGCCGTTGTATCCATCCTTCTATGCTCCCGCCCCGAAGGATGTCTTACCAGGCGTGAAATTCCCGAAGGGCTTCAAATTCGGAGTCGCTACTTCCGCATACCAAGTCGAGGGTGCAACGAAGAATGAAGGCAAGGGTCCGACAACGTGGGACTGGGCTTCCAGACAGCCAAACGGTGTATTCGATAACACGACTGGTGAGTATGCGTGGTACTCAAAAGATGTTAATCATGCGACTGAGATTATTGCAGCTGACGTCACCGATCTTCATTACTTCCTGTACAAAGAAGACGTCCAGCGCATTGTTGCTCTTGGTGTTACTGCGCATTCTTTCTCGTACGTGCTAGAACCCTTTTTACTGGACTTGTCTGAACAACACTTCTTAGAATTTCGTGGGCGAGAATCTACCCGTTTGGTGCCGCCGATTCTCCCGTTAATACGGCTGGCATTGATCATTATTCTGATGGTACAGTTTCATTCTAACAGCATCATAAGTGATGCTGATCGTTTCTGCTGCAGTCATTGATTACCATTTGGCTCATGGTGTGGAGCCTGTTGTGACATTGTGTAAGATTTTCCTTGTATTCGTGAGCCGGTGTTGAATACTTATGAAATAGTCCATTGGGATACTCCTCTCGCCATTCAGACCTACTACGGAGGTTTCACATCGCCAGAAATAGTCGACGACTTTGTAAAGTAGGTGCTTGAAGGATACAACGGTTTGTGTACTCATACGATTTTTAGCTACGCCAAGACTGTATTCAAGGCATACAATGGCCGTGTTAAAACTTGGTTGGTGGCCGTAGTTTATTGTCCCTGGAAATATGCTCAACTGCTATAGGTATACTTTCAATGAGCCGAGAATTTATTGTGGCCAGGTCGCCACCTATCCATTCGGTAAACTTTCTGTACATCAAGACCTACGTTTACAAGCTTACTGTTGAGACCAGACGTCACGCTTGCACCTGGCGTAAATTCCTCCACCGCCCCTTATCACTGCGCGTACAATCTATGTACGTTTTGCATCTTTCTTCCCTATAGCACCCCTCATCCTGATGCTTTATCATAGTAAAGGCCCATGCAGGAGCCGTGAAGGGTCTGTCAATGTACCACCATAAAGTGCTACTGACTTATCCATTTTCTCCCTAGCATTTCGCGCAATGAACATATCTGGAGAGATCGGCTTCAAGAACAACGACTACATGTGACTATGTCTCTCCTTCTCTTGTTAGCACCCGCTGGATATCCTACAGAGGCACGCCGTGGAGAAGCAACTCCACTGAGGACGCGCTTGCCGTCGAACGCCATGCAGCGTTCGAAATCGGCCTCTTCTCAAACCCTGTACACACAACTGGCGATTGGCCCGACATTGTCAAAGACACTCTCCCAGCCGAGTATCTCCCGCGTTTCACGGATCAGGAAAAGATTGACATTCTCGGCTCCGCGGATTTCTTTGCTATTGACACCTACTTCTCATTATGGGTAAAGGCTCCAGACACAGGGATCGACGCATGCGTGGCCAATCTTTCCCACCCCTTATGGCCCGTCTGTAACGAACCTGGATATTTCGACTCGGGTTACGGCTGGCCTGCAGGTCCCGTTGGCGACCCAGTAGCCCTGCCCCTCCAAGCGGCACCGGTAGCCATTCGTGCTTTGCTGAAGGGCCTCCACTCTCGATGGCCAAGTAATAAACTTGTGCGTATGTGACACATTCATGGTGGTAATTTCTGACTGCTGGCGGCCAGTATGTTTCCGAGTTCGGCTTCATCGAGCCTTTCGCCTACGCGAACGCGGATATATCGCAAATAAAGGAGGATGTGCTCCGAACGAGTGCGCATTCAGTCACACTTTAGACTAACTAATTGACAAATCATCTGTTGTTTTCAGACTCCTTACTCACGTATCTCGGTGAAATGTTGCTATCCATCTACGAAGACGGCGTCCCGATCCAGGGTGCTTTCACTTGGTGTCAGTTCTAGCAAAGTTGTACATAAAAATTCGCCACTGACTCGTTGTAGCAATACTTGACAATGCAGAATGGATGCTTGGAAAATCCATGAAGTACGTGGTCATTGTTCCGGGCTGAGATTTTCTGGTCTTACCACGAGTGTAGATATGGTATTCAGCACGTGGATTACACGACACTGGAGCGGACATACAAGCGCTCGGCGTTATCCTTGGGTGAGTCTTACGATGCTTTTCAATGACCGCCAAAGTTTACGAGGACAAATAGCGGAATTCTTTGGGTCGCACCTTTAAGACTGAGGTAAATGTTCTGGTATGATACTCCCTTAGTTTCTGTCGATTGTGAATCCAAGAAAGGGAGTATACTTTTTCTATTGCAGTGTGAACGCAATACAAAACA